GGTCCACTTCTGCCAATAGTTTCATTTCCTAACAACCAAAACCAATACCACTGTAAGCTCCAACAAACAACTACTATGCAAAAACAAAGTTTTACTTATTTTCTTGACATTACTAAGAATCAGAGATTACACCTAAAAACAAAATTGAGGTAGGTACAGGTTAAGTGAGTGAGATATTTGAATAACAATATTTACACTACGCAGTTAATAGAGCATGTACCCACGATGACTCAACTACTCCTGTATAGACGAAAACAACATGCAAAACATCATATCATATTGGACCTTTCCTAAGAACCCTACCACCTTTCAAAATTTTTGTGCTATCAAACATTGAACACATGCATAAGCTTTTTGTACCAATGTGCAGGTATGAAAATACAGAAAGCAAATTGACGGATGTCAAGTGCAATGAAAAAACTCAAGCCCTGAAGTTTATCTAACAAAAATAAATTAGAAATTGAATTTGACAATGTTATCGAGAAGCTAAAGAAAAATTTGCCTAACTTACTTCACGAACAATCTCCATTGTGTCCTCAATTTCTTTCCTATGAGCAGCAATTAGTGCTTCTTCTTCCTGCAGAAGCATAAATTAAACAGATACTCAAAAGTGTTACAGTAAATTTTTAAACTGAAAGAGGATGGCTCCAAACATTTGACAAACCTGAAGTATTGCGCTGATATTCACGTCAGAAGAGGATTCTGTTTCAGACTGCCCCGATCCAGTGCTAACTGTGTTATAATTTCCTGTGTTCTGCTGCTTGGAGCTTGTGGTGTTATTAGAACCATTGGAATCCCTTTTTACCCAATTTATAGATCTTTCGGGTTTCTCCTCCTTAGTTCCTTTTCTGCGTGGAGGAGACACCCTTTGCACTTTCTCATCTGTAACATTTAGGGAATAAGAGTTCATCTTTTGATTGGTAGAATCACCGTAAGAATTCTTTACTTCAAACCTTTCCCTGTCCATTGGAGCAGAAGCCAGGCTTTTATCTTCTCGCCCATTGTATGAATAACTAGAAGAGAAACTTGATAGTTGTTTGTCAACATCAGTGGAAGAGCTGTAGAAAGAACTTTCCTTTTCTACAGCTTTTCTGCCCAAGTCCGTTGCTTTTATCTCTTGACGCTGACCATTAAAATCCTCTGTACCCATGCTAGCAAGAAGTGAAGATGTGGGTGAAGCCTCTTTATTGACTGGTGGAACTGGATTTGGGGCCTGGTCCTTCCGAGGATTTCCACTCTTGGATAGACTTTTAACTCTGTTCATATATGACAAAAATGGTTAATATCTAAAAACATGGGAGCGTACGAAAAAGTGCACCTGGTTATGAGCATAGTCTTCTTAATTTACAGTTGCAAAACACATACCGGTCTGCATATCTCAAGGTATTAAGTGTGTGTTCACAAGACCCAGCATTTGGGGATATACAAGAGATCATAACAGTTTTTGAATTTCCAACAAAGGAGTCACGGAGTACTTCCGTAAGTTTGCTTCCCCGAAAAGGAATATGGATCTGATCATTGTCCAAAGCACGGATGCACTCCTTCAAAGCCAAAAGACTCTTGTTGATTTCAGCACCTTCGATCCTGCAGTAGTGATATAATTAGTGCCAAAGTGGAGATTGGCTACTACAAGACACAAAGCAGGGATAGAAAGGAACTCAAGGAAGCCAACCATGACCAATCAAACCATGTTTTGCAGCAGTTACATGAAAATAACATCACACTATAAATTAAACAACAAACGAACACACTTTGAAATTTCACATTTATTTACAAAGTAGATGTGGCAATTGCATCCCTTTGTTGCATCCATTTTCCAATCCACCCATGTATGAATCCAACTAATTTGCCCATTCATTGGCATAAAAAATTAATGGAATA